CTCGGGGGGGGGGGGTGGGGGGCGCACCCCCCTCCCCACGTCACCCACCCGGACGGGGCACTTGGCCACGAAGCTGCCTGGTGCTGGACTCGCCCCGCATCCCAGCCTGGCTTTCATTTATTTTTTTTAAGTTATTAACGAAATCTGAATGTCGGGAGCTTGCTTCCGACCAGAGGGTGAACTTGACCGCGTCCGGCCCTCACACGACCACCCCGCCGCCCCAGCCAGGGCCCCCGCTGCTCCATGTGAACGGCTAGTGAACGGGGTTCGAAGGTGAGACCGTGGTGCCGGGGCTGGTGCCTGGCCACACGCTCCCGCTCGGCCTCGTCCATAAGCACGCGCTGCCTGCGTGTGGGGCAGGGCCTTGTCCCTGCGGCCCAGGTGACTCGGAGGGGGAGGGGCCCTGCCTGCCCGCAGCTCCGCACCCAGTAGGTCTATTGCTAGTTCTTTGCAACCTCAGGGGCATCTCAGAGTAAGTGCAGGAAAGCCAGTCTTTCCTCCAGAGAGAGACGAAAAGGACATCCGTCTGCACCAGAGAAACCACCGCCAGGACCGCAGCGGCCCACAGCCGCCCTCCCCCAGCCCTCCCCCTGCACCCCTGCTCTCGCCTGGGCCAGGGGCCTGAGCAGCCCCTCTTGCCCGGGGGCCGTCTCCCTAGATCACAGGTGTGGTCCGGTGCCCACTTGCTCTCTGGCTCCCATCGGCACCGCACGTGGTCCCAGCCTGTTTTCTTTGCAGAGCCCGCGTGCCAGCCCTGCGTGTGCCTCTACCAGCCCCTTCCCCGGCTCCTTCGGGCCCGTTGTGAGCGTGGGTCTTGCCACCATCACTTTGGAAACCAGTGAGTGGCATCCTGAAGCGCTGGCCTCGGGGGCCTAGCAGGGCAGAGCACAGCTGCGGGGGTCGGGGGACAGGCCTGAGCGCCTGGGCGTCATGTCATCAGGGAACAGCTCAGGGAGCCGCACTGTCCACAGAGGGGTCAGCCTGACAGCGAGCCCCTCCGGCTCAGCACTGCCCGCCGGCAACAGTGTTGGGTGAAAGACGCCACGGGCCACAGGTTCCCCAACCCCGGCCCAGCCAATGTGGCTCCGTGGTTGAGCATCGACCTATGACCCAGGAGGTCACGGTTCGATTCCCAGTCAGGGCACATGCCTGGGTTGCGGGCTCGATCCCCAGTGTGGGGCGTGCAGGAGGCAGCCGATCCATGATTCTCATCATTGATGTTTCTATCTCTCCCTCTCCTTTCCTCTCTGAAATCAATAAAAAAAATATATATATTTTAAAAAAAGGTTCCAAACCCAGGCTCAGGGCTGTGCAATTGACAGTAAAAAGTAAAGACAAGGTAGTGGTTACCATGAGCGTCAGACTGATGGGTACTGGGGGGCTGGGGGGTCACTCTCCCCGGGTTGGCACGTCCCTCAAACTGCATTAGTTTGGGGTACTTTTCTGTGCCTTCGCGGCATTTCACAAGGGAGACATTTTCACGTGCCAGTCACGACTCTTGTCCGTGTTGTCCATGAACCTCCAGCCACGGCGAGAACTGTGACAGCCCGCTCCCTGCCTGCTAGGGCCCTGCCCTCTCTCCCCTTAGGCTCTCAAATAACAAAATGACAACAGCCGACAGAACAGTGGCCATCTGGTGCGAATGAATGAAAATGATACCTATTTTTTTTTTTGTCAGATCGGCAAAAAATAATATATATATTTTGGTGTTAGCCTCAGACTGAGTGTGTGTATGCCACCGGGTGAAGGCGGCCTGAAACCCCCGAGCGACCCAGACGCCTCGCCCGCGGCTGCTCCTGTGACCTGTGGCCTCTGGACACCGGGGAGAGCCGTTCCGTGTCCGCCGGGAGCCCGCGCTCCTGTGCGGAAGGTCAGGCAACAGAGTATCGCCCCGGGCGCTTCTTTGTGTCGCTTCCCCGACTCCAAGGACGCGCGCGACCCCTGTTGGTGGAGGGGCGCCATCGCAGCCCGGCCCGCCAACCCGCGTCCCGCGGGGTCCTCCCCCCCGCCGCGGGGACTGTCCCCCAGCGCCCACCGCTCCCACCGCAGCCCCCCTCAGCCCCCACCCCCGCAGCTCCAGGCCACAGTCACACCCAGTTCCCCCTCCCGACCTGCTCTTCCTCCCCTGTCCCTGCGTGGCCAGCGCTCACCAGCCACGAAGACAACCCCAGGCCCTGGCCTGGCCTCCCGCAGACAGCGGTCCACTCAACCCACAGAATGGGGTCTACGCCCTGCGGACCGGACCGGCGCTAACCCCTCCCGCCGCGCCGCCTGCTCCTCCAGGCCTTCCTCCAACGCGGATGTTGACCCCGCAGGACCGACTCGCGGGTCCCCTGGGGCCCAGTCTCTCTCCCTGGCACATTCACTGCTCTGTAGTTTGGGGTCCCTATGCTAAGACTGCAGGGTCCCCCGCGCTGGTCAGCCCCGGGTTTGCACATCGGGTGCTGCGGTCCGGACCAGTAGCACGCTGGGGAGCCACAGCGCCCCCCTGTGGTCATCGTGCCCACAACGCTCAATCCGAGGCCCTTAGTTTCTTTTTAAACATGTTTTGGATTTTATATTGATTTTAGAGAGGAAGGGCGAGAAGCACCATCAATCAATCGGCTGCGTTCTGCACGCCCCCCAACTGGGATTGGGCCTGCAAGCCGGGTATGCGCCCTGTCTGGGAATTGAACCATGACCTCCTGCTTCATAGGTCAACGCCCAACCACTGTGACACACGGGGCAGCAGGATGGACTTTTTGATAAAGGGTGCTGGGACAATGGACACCCACGTGGGGAAAATGCATCAAAGCCCAATTCCAGGTGGATGGCAGACTACGTTTAAAAGCAAAACTGCTTTAGTGTGGCTCAGCAAGGTTGCTGGTTCGATTCCTGGTTAGGGCACATGCCTGGGTTGCAGGTTAAATGCCTGGTTGGGGGTGTGCAAGAGGCAGCCGATAGATGTTTTACTCTCACATCAATGTTTCTCTCCCTTTCTCTCTAAAAATCAATGTTGAAAAAATATGAAAAAAATATTTTCAAAAATATGAAAAAGAAAAATATTAGAGGCCTCACACTACAACTTCAGGGTTTATTATAAAGCAACAGCCACGGGGATGGTTTGGCTCATGCAGAAAGGCATTTTCTGAGACTTATATTGAATGTTCTCTTATTTAGAGCCACCATGTGTCGCCCGATATATTCAGAAAGGTTTGGGGACATAAAAATAGTAATTCATCTATACCACTGCCAATAAAATGTTTTTAAAATGGAAGTTTTAAAAAATCACTTCTTTACATAAACTTAGGTCAAACTCTTAGACTAAGCCCACGTCCCCCTTGTCAAATTACTCAGCCAAACACACTTTTTTATTTTTTTATTGATTTCAGAGAGGAAGGGAGAGGGTGAGGGAGATAGAAACATCAATGATGTGAGGGAATCACCCATCAGCTGCCTCCTGCACGCCCCCTACTGGGGATTGAGCCCACAACTCGGGCATGTGCCCTTGACTGGAATTTAACCTGGGACCCTTCAGTCTGCAGGTCGACGCTCTATCCACTGAGCAAAACCGGCCAGGACTGAGCCAAACAAACTTTTGATTGGAAGGTTGACTTCATTTTATAACTCAAATGCTAATAGGCACTTCCAGGAATATTACAGAATCTACTGAGAATTAGATCCAGGAATGACTGTCTTTTTTAAGACAGGCTCTAAAAGCAGTGCAGGTGAAGCCGATAGAGGGCTAAGGTAACTAATGTACCTATTACACAGTATGTTGGGAGCGCCAGGAGGCAGTCAGCGCCTCCAACAGGACTGAGTTCCTAGCATCACCCTGGGACACGCACCTGGAGGGGCAGTCGGTACGGAGTCAGGACAGGCGCGGCCTCCTGCTGTGCTTTGGGCTTTTGAGATTCGTTAAATGAGAATCAAGTATAAAAACCAAGTAATTCCATTCATTTTGTCACTTGTCATGACTGGGCTTTCTTATGGATTTAAAGAAATCTTATGGAATTTAAGCAAATGTTTAAAAACAAAAAACCATCGCTCTGGCAGCTCACATCTCACCTGAGGATTGTTCCCATTGATTTTTTAGGAAGAGTTGGGGGGGGGGGGGGGGGGGGGGGGGGGGGGAGAAACAGCCATGAGAGAAAGACACGTTGATTGGTGCCTCCCACATGTGCCCCTACCAGGCTGGGGACCGACCCTGCAACCTGTTGTGTGCCCTTGGCCAGGAACCCAGCAATAACCCTCCGTGTGCGAGCCGATGCCTGCCCGCCGAGCGCCCTCGCCAGGGCTGCTTGTTGCTGATGTTAGGTACTTGAGAAGATGAAGTAAAGATGCGTGCTCATCCAATAGGGAAGAGACGAGGGAAGTGTGAGCTGGGTTTCAGCTGCTGTATCCTGAGAAAGGTGGTGGGTCCAGAGCACACTGCAGCTGGACTCCAGGCATCGCCAATGCCACGGTGTCAGCTCCTGGGAGGGGCCTTCTCTCCCACCCGGGACACGCCAACCAGGAGGAGCCCTGAGATATGGCTGTCACAGCGGGGAGGGAGGAGGGCCCTGGCTGCTAGCAAGTGGAGGCCAGGCAAGCTGCTAAGCTCCCCGCAGTCCACAGGGCGGCCCCACTGCGAGCCTGGTCACGATCGGGGCACTTCACCTCGGACCCTGCTCATCTTAGCCTCCCTGTGGCCTCTGTGAAGAGGAGGAAACGGACTCGGAGGCCGAGGAACGCCAGAGGAGAGAGCTCAGAGGACGGCAGCCCGACCTGGTCCAGATGGAGTCAACGTCACAAAACCTGCAGGAACTGGTGTGCACACAGGAAACCCGGATTCACCCAGATATTTCCTCCAAGCCCCCCATCTGGGCGCCCTGGTCCGGCCTGATCCTCCGATCCCGTCCTAGCTGCCCCGCCCACGGCCAGGGCGGGTTTGGGAGACCACGCCTCCCAGTGGCCTCAGGAGGAGGGCGGCCCTGAGGCTGGAACACCAGGACACCAGCCCCGCCCGCCTGGGCTGCCCTTGCTGGGACAGTGAACAGAGTGCCTCGGACCCGGCCATCGCTCCCTGGTCTGCAGGCCAGGAAAGAGGGAACGGACACAGTGACTGAGAGCGTTCCCGTGTGTGACTTCACCTGACACGTCACCTGGAAACCTGTAAATGGTCTGAAGGAAAAGAAAGAGAAAGGCCATTGCACCGAGCCCTTACTGGTAACACCTGTTTAATAGGTCAAAGTCACTGTACAGTTCAGTATATTCTTCCTGAGAATAATTTATATCCCCCAGCAAACTACAGGGAGGTGCAGTTCTCCAAGGGCCTGCTGCCCCCGGGAAGGTACACGAGGAAGGTTAGTACTCCGGCGGCGGCGGCTGAGCAGTCAGCATGGCTTTCCTCTTTCTGTATAAATTATAGAAAAGGGCACGGGAGGCTCAGAACCTGCGCAGGGCCGCTGGGGGCGCTGGCACAAGCGTTTCTGCTGAGAACATCGCTACGAAACTGGCACGTTATTCTGGCGAAGAGTCCGTGCGTCTGCAGCTTTCCCACCGCGCTTCCCAGACGCCGTGAGAGCAGGAGGCCGAGGCGCAAGGGCTGTGGTTCTTTTTCTAAAATGCCTCCGTCTTCCAGACACGGCGCTCAGCCTCGCCCTCTGTGACGTGGCGGCAGCGCGCGCAGCCGAAGGGCGTGCTGCCCACAGCGGGGTCCAGTCTGCACACCGTCCTGGGGCCCCTCCTCCTCCTCTCGCTTCCAGCGAGTCTGGCCATTTCCTACCACAGTCTCTGCACGACCCTAACAGCTTCTCCCGACAGTTTCATTCTTAGAAAAATGCCACATTTTGGATCCGGACTTTTCTGAACACCATGATTCAAGAAACAGAACAAAAAATGAGCCCAAATCAAAATGTGGTTAAACGCACGAGAGATCATCCACCAGCGGTCAGTCAGAAGCGCTGGCGTCGGGCTGCCCCGGAGGCGGCCCTGCTGCTGGTGCACGGGAGTGTCGGGAGCGCGGGCTCCGCTCAGTGCGGCCTCGCCTGCCCCAGCATCTTCAGTCTGGCCTGGTCAATGACGTCCAGCAGGTTCTTGGCGTCCACGGCCAGGGCGTGCGCGGCCGTCAGCATCTGCTTCTTGTACTCCTGCTGCAGGCTGGTGAGGACGTGCTGCTGGGCCAGCCGCATCTTGCTGATGAGCTCGCCCAGGTCCGAGTTGAGCAGCTTCTGGGCCATCTCGACCTGGAGGCACAGGAGGGGAGCCGCAGGGAGCTGGTCAGGGGCTCGCCTCAGCTGGGAGGGTCCCTGCACAGCCAGGAGCCCGGCCAGTTTCCGCGGCAGCAGCGTGGACCGCCCATCCCGCCCACGAGCCCCAGAGCAGGCGAGCCGGGCCTACCTCGCGGTGCGTGCTGGCCGGCAGGCCAGGGATGGTCTCGTCCACAGTGGCCAACAGCGTCCGCAGGGCCAGGCCGACTTCCTAAGAGACAGGACCACACAGTCAGGTCACACAAGGCCTCACACACAGCACCAAGCTGTCCTTCCAGTTACGACATTTCTGTGTTTCTTTCCCTCTTTCTCTGAGCCCCACCTTTTAAGTTCTGAGGCAAGTTCCCCCCAAAGGTTCCGATCTGATACCAGGGTTCGACTGCCCTGGGGCGCAGGGTGCGGAGCAGACACTCGCATGAGGAAGGTCCGGGAGAGCAGGGCTGGAGCCCCATTTTCCTTGTCACCTGGTACCCCCATCCCCACTACGCCGCCATCTGCCTGCCCTCCGGGGTCAGACGTGCCTCCTGCCAGTGCCGGTGAGGGCGGCGACACACTCCTCCTCAGAGTGCTCCCTGAATCCGTTCTCCCCCAGGTACTTTCTAGGGCCCAGGAGGCCGGCAAAGAGGTGTCAGGACGGCCACAGGCCTCGCTGGCCAGTCTTCATGCCCGGCAGCCACTGTGGGACGCCTGCGCTCCAGGACATCCCACCCCGGCGCTCGGGCAGGAACCGCCGCCCGAGGTGAGGACACCTCCGCTGGGTGGACACGGGGACGGCCTTACCTTCACCATGGGGACGTACTCCTCGGGCGGGGCGGGCTGGATCTTGCTGGACATCTCGATGACCGCCTTCACCAGGCCCGTCACGTTCTCGTACACCCTGTCATTGGAGCGGTCCAGGTTGGCCGTGGGTGGGGGGCTGATCTCCTGGGGCTGCAGCTGCCAACACAGAAGCCAGTCACTTTCTGCGTCCGGGAGGGCGCGTGCCACGGGGCTCGTTAGGGAGGGTCTTTAAGAGAGATCAAAGCAGACTGGAGACGGACTCTCTTGTTCTATGGGGTCAAGTGCACTCTGAGGGTGACACTGACGTGACTCCCAGTGACACATCCATGAGGTCCTCCTCTTCTGACTTTGAGCTCAGTTAAAGGAATGAGGTGGAATCACACACGACACTAAAAAGCCCGATTTTCCCAGAGAAGCGATTTGATGCCCCAGAATCATTCACCCAGGGAAGCGTGCACACGGTGCCCGCGGGCGTTCAGGGGGCTGCTAGGGGCCGAGCGCTCTGCATTGGACCAGCAGCGCCCACGTGGCCTGAGTTCTGCAGCAGCGACTCCATGGCGCAGCCGGCACCTCAGGCCGCCTAGTGGGGAGCTTTCCCGGCAGGTGACAGAGCGGACACCATGTTTGCAGACGCAGCTCAGGTGAAGCCGGCTGGTGCCGGAGCCCAACGCGGCGCTTCCGGGGAGCAGCGGCTCAGCCCTCATAGGCAGGGGCCCGTGAGGTGGCTGCCCCGCACTGGGCACCAAGCTACACAGGCCTCTGGGGAATCTCCCAGGGTCTTTAAACAGTAAACGCTGCCCTGGGCCCTGCAGCACAGCTCTGTGTCTCTCCAGAGCCTCAATTCAGCACAGCCTGGGCCCGAGACTCTGCTGCGTGGGCTTGGCTGCAGCACGAGGCGCCCTTTCTGAGCCCTCGGGCG